TGATTGATGGACAAATATTACATTTTTCAAATGCTCAATCTGTAGGCCAAGACAAAATTTTATCTTTCCAAGATCTTTCATTTCAAATTATTTCGTTAAACACTCAACAGCTTTTGAAACCTCTTTAGGAGTGCCAATGATATTTAAATCATCAACATACACAACTATTATAACAAAATCAGATCCAAACCTTTTTATAAAAACACAAGGACAAATAGGGTCATTTTTGTAGTCTTCCTTTAGCAAAAATTGGCTAAGACGATTGTACCACATCCGTCCTGATTGTTTTAATCCATACAAGGATTTCTGAAGCCTTATCGAACAATTTTCTTGCGAATTTTTATATGTTTCAGGCACATTGAATGCTTCAGGAACTTTCATGAAAATATCATGGTACAATGAGCCATATAAATAAGTTGTGACAACATCCATTAGATGCATTTCAAGCTTTTCATGAACTGCCAGATTTATTAGATACTTGAAGGTAATTGCATCCACCACAGGAGAATATGTCTCCACATAATAAATCCTAGGCCTTTGCGAAAAACCTTATGCCACAAGTTGTGCTTTATATCTTACGACTTCACCTTTTTCATTTCGTTTTCGCACAAAATCCCATTTGTACCCCACTGGCTTGACACCTTCAGGTGTTTGGACTATTGGCCAAAAATTTCATGTTTTTCAAGTGAAGTCAATTCCGCTTGAATTGCCTCCCATTTTGGCCAATCATTTCTTTGTATGCATCCATTCATAGATTTTGGTTCAAAATCCTCACCTTATTGCATTATTTCTACAGCAACATTATAAGCAAAAATATTGTCCACCACAATATTATTTCGATTCCACCTTTTTCTTATTGTGATTTCTTCATTCTCATTATTTTAAGTTATTTGGACCTTCTTTGTGGTCTTGTCATTTGTTATGTCTCGGAGCTCTTCTTGAGCAATTTCCTCCATGATATGATCTTCATGATCATTTGTTCCTTTTAATTTTTGAGGATTTTTATCCTTTGAACCAATTGTCCTACCACATTTTAAACGTGGTTAGACTCATTTGCTTTAACAATTTGTCCTACCGGGACATCAACTCGAACTGGAGCATTTGCAGTTGGAATATAAGATTTAGTAACCCTTAGAAGTTTAGTAAATGCATCTGACAGTTGATTTGCAATATTTTGCAAATAAATCATCTTTTTAACATTTTGCTCACATTGATTTGTTCGAGGATCTAAATGAGATAGGGATAATGAATTCCAATCTATCTCTTTATCCAACTGCTTATGTTCCCCCCCTAATGTTGGGTATACTGATTCATCAAAATGACAATCAGCAAATCTTGCCATAAATATATATCATGTCATAGGTTCCAAATATTTGATAATAGAAAGAGATTCATACCTAACATACACCCCAACCTTCTTTGGGGACCCATCTTTGTGCGTAGCGGTGGGGCAATTGGAACGTACACCGTGCACCAAAAAATTTATGATGGGAAATATTTGGCTCATGACCAAAAATCAACTGTAATTGAGAGAATTCATGATAACTAGTAGGCCTTATGCACACCAATGCTGCCGCTACAAAATAACATGCCCCTATATTGAAACAGGCAACTTTGTCCTCATTAACAATGGTCTAGCTATCAATTGGAGGCGCTTAATCAAAGATTTCGCTAGACCATTTTGAGTGTGAACATGAGCAACTGGATGTTCAATTGTTATCCCAGTGGACAAACAATAATCATTAAAGGCCTACGATATAAACTCACCAGCATTAACAAGACGAATTGTCTTTATTGTATAATCTAGAAATTGTGCTCTTAATCTTTTTATTTGAGCCAACAACCTCGCAAAAGCCATATTGCGAGTTGATAATAAGCACACATGTGATCATCTTGTAGATGCATCTATCAAGACCATATAATAGTTAAATGTCCCACATGGAGGGTGAATTGGCCCACATATATCACCATGTATACATTCCAGAAATGCAGGGGATTCAATCCCAAACCTTAGTTGTTGATGGATTAACAACCAACTTTCCTTGAGAACAAGTAGCACAAGAGAATTTCTTTGATTGAAGAATTTTATGATTCTTCAAAGTATGCCCATGTGAATTCTCAATAATTTTGCGCATCATATTATAACTGGGATGGCCCAACCGGTCATGCCAAATGATAGATTCATTAGGATTAGTAAACCCTTTGTTTACTATGGCATGTGATTCGACCATACTAATACTTGTATGGTACAATCTAGAAGAAAATGTGGGTAATTTTTCATGCATATATTTTTGCCCCAATTTTACTTTAGTAATATAAAGGTATTCAACCTTTCCTTCATTGGTAGTCTCAACATGATAGCCATTTTGGCGAATAACCTTGAAACTTAATAAGTTTCTTTGAGACTTACTACAGTACAATGCATTTTCAATAGTTAATATCATTCCCCCAGGTAGTAAAGGCCGCTCTTCCAGAGCCCTCAATTAATTTTGAACTACCAGATATTGTATTAACATAAGCCTTTTTCATAATCAAATTAGAGAAATATTTCCTTTCTCTTAAAATAGTGTGAGTTGTAGCACTATCAAGAAGACACATATCCCCATTACTCATCTTGAACCAATTGAAGATTGAGAAATTTTATTTATCTTCATAAAATAAAAGTACATCATAAGAAATATGAAAAATCAATAACTTTGCAAGAAAATAAAATTACTTTTTTTTTCTGAATATAAAAACAACATAAGAAAAATCATATCAATTAAAAACACATAAATAAAACAACATAATTATTTTCCCCAATCAAATGATCAAACATTAGTTTTGATCTCCGAAGTCTTCAACTTCCAAATGAGTAATATCATCAAGGACATCAAAATCATCATCTTTTAAAGCCAAATTTGCTTCAATATTGTCATCATATCTTTTGTGAAAGCCCTGCCTCGGCATCATTTTTATAAGTCAAGTGTGACTCCACCCGAGCATTAGAAGAAGATGCATCATTTTTATTTCCTTTTCTTTTCAAGGAATCTTGATAAATACTAACAAAATGCTCAACTGCTCAGCATTCATTCTTCCAATGCCCTTTCATGCCACAATGATGACAATTGCCTCTTGAAGGATTGCTTTGAGAACCCATATTGTTCTCCCTTTTGTGGCGATCACCAACACGACGATTCTTATATCGCCCTCTGCCATTGCCACGTCCACACACATTATTTTGGCCCTGATTTTTAATTGTCTTCTTTCAGACTGGCCATGTGTTTCAACCTCATTTGTTTCTGATAACGGAGTTCGTTCCGTGGGACGGGCCTCATGGTTTTTCAATAAAAGAGTATTATGTTGCTCAGCCACAATAAGGCATGAGATCAACTCAGAATACTTTTTGAATCCCCTTTCACGGTATTGCTGCTATAATTCCAAAATTGAGGCATGAAAAGTTGTGAGAGTCTTTTCCAACATGTCCTCATGTTTTATATCTTCCCCACATAATTTCAATTGGGAAGTAATTTTGTATACATCAGAATATATTCACATATAGTTTTAAAATCTTGTAACCGTAAGTGAATCCATTCATAATGAGCCCTTGGCAATACCGTTGCCTTAAGGTGGTCATACCTTTCCTTCAAACCAGTCCACAATTCAAGTGGATCTTTCACCGTAAGGTATTCAACCTTCAATCCTTCATCCAAGTGATGACGAAGGAAAATCAATTGCCTTTGCTTTGTCCTGACTCGACGATGTATTACCATTGGTAATAGTGGCACCAAGACCTTTAGCGTCAAAGTGAATTTTAGCATCAAGTACCCATGACAAGTAATTATTTATAGAAATGTCAAGTGCCACGAACTCAAAATTTGATAAATTTGACATAATAAAACTATAATAGAAAATAATTAAATTAGAGTAAAATAGACAATGAGTAAATAATTATGTAGAATTTGTTTATTCATCAAGTAAAATTAGCATACAATCTAAATTAATATTATGCCTCACAAATAACAAAAATAACTTTTAGTAAAATTGTTAGATAAAATATTTTCATTAAAAATTAATCAATAGTATAGATAATTCACTTTTTCCATTGAGAACAGAAAACACTAGAATTTTTAGTCCATTCATTTTTTTTTCACAAAACAATGACCTTCATCTTCTCTTCGCAAAATAGATAAATGGTTAGCCTTTTTTCATTCAATTATAAATAAAATGTAAAAAAGAAAAAGTATAGCCACAATTTAATAATTTTAACATTAGATTATAAATGGATACCTCACAAGAAATGTTGTTCAACCTTGAGACTTCGTGCTGATAACGTGTTGTGAAACTTAAGAACAAAAGAACAATATAAAAAGGAAGACAAGAAGAATATAAGACAAGAGAAACAATATAAGATCACTTTCTTTCTTTCAAGTGTATTCAACATTATTCTCAACACTACTATTTATAGGATTGCATTGAGGAATACCAAAGGGTGTCATAAACATTACATTAAACCTTGAGAATTACTACCCATTAAGGAGGATATAAACCTAGGAGTTATGCTCATCCATTTGACCACAATATCAACAACATTATTACCAATGAAGGATGAAATTAACATAGGAGTTATGCTCATCCATTTGACCACATTATCAACAACATTACTACTCATAAAGAAGGGAATTAACCAAGGAGTTATGGTCATCCATTTAACCACCAAAATGATTTACAACACCTATCACTTGCTTCTGATTAATTAAGCTTAAAAAAATAAGCTTCACATAGAAAAAACTAAGCCAAAACATTGGCAAATAACCTTAATATAACATTGACGGGAGGAGCTTTAGTCGGTACAACAACAAAAGGAACGATGAAATAACAACGATACAAAAGCTAATGCCTTTTTGGGCAAGAGCCATTGAATTTATTCGGTACAAAATCAAAAGGAAATATCAAATAACATCAATAACAATGCTGCTTAATTTGTTCTCCATCAATAAATATATGGTTCAAAGGGTGTTCTACAAACCTCCACCAGTGTGTTCGACAAATTCAACTGCATTTAGAAGATCACCATGACAAAGACAAACTATCTCCATTTCATCTTTCTTGTTACACGCGTATAACAGTCCTTCAGTCTTCTTTCCATTTGGTCTTTTACCTCTTGTGGAAACAAAAGTCATATGGTTGAGCATGAAGTTTTTTATCTTCCCTTTAGCAATATAATTTCCTGAATACACACACAGGTGATTTATGTTCAACGAAAGATGATTTCACATCGAGAACTAAAGGAAAAATTAATAATTCCTACTTTAATTTTGATACAAATTCAAATTGACTTGCTATACAAATCAATTCGCAAAATTTTAATACCTTGAGTAGGTGGTTGTTGGGTTTCAACCTCAGCTACACTTGAAGCAACACTTCCTTGCAATCCACCTGAAAACATCAAAGAATATTTTTCATTGGTTATTCACAAAAAGAGATTCATTTTTTTCGAGTAAACATCAAAATTACTATTCAATGAAAACCCTAAATTCAGTTCCACATTTTCATTCTCTACATTTGAAGTTCTTATGTTTTCTTTAGCTTTCTCCATGTTAGCAAAATCTAAAAACCGAGAAAGCTATTGAATTTCAAACTAAAAAATTATAAAATGGGAAAATAAAAACTCAATTAAAGATTCAGTGCAGAGAAACCATTAGGCCATTTGGGAGCTTATAAAGGAGAAAATTTCTAGGTGGGAAGGTGGAAAAAATGTGAAGAGATATTTCATTTCCATGGGTTTAGTAAAATAACAAAATAGCCCTTGCAAAGTAACACATGGTTGTTCTAGGAATAGCCTTACCACTTGGTTTAACAAGGACTTTGGAAATTGAACCCAAGAGGTAACTGTTTAATAGTGACACATGTCACTTATAAATTCACTTTATAACTTTTTTTGACCACTTTAAAAAGAGGAAAAGGTTGAATGTATTTTTCTATTGTATTTTATTAGTCAAATTTATTAAATGTTAATTATCCCATGATTTTTACTTTCAACATTATTGAATTTAATAAGGTAAACAATACAAATTTTATTTGTTTAGGGCCTAATACATGCATTTTCATGAGTTTTCAAAATTATCATCATGCCAAATTTGGTCATCAGATGCATGTATCTAACATATCTAGTTTTCAAATATATAAAAAGAAAAATAATAAATATATTTTAGATGGGTTTAAAAGGAAAGTAGGTGTGACAAAATGGAAACGAGGGTGTATATCTTTTCCAATATTTAAGAAGTAAATTATTAGGTCAATGATGATTTTAGCATAACATTAACAACCTATTTAGGATAAATAATCAACTAATAACCATTAATGTCATAATTATCTTGAATGTCTAGATCTCATTAATTTATAAATACATATATATATACACACACACACACACACACACATATATATATATACACACACACACACACTACCTTAAAAGCATGAACTCCCAAAATTGAATGTTGAATTACTATAATACCCCCAATTAAAAATACTCAATTTATTTTATTTATTAATTTTATTATATTGAAAGTAGATACCTTTTCAAATTAAAGGATTGTACTTTTTCAATGCGTTCTGACTTTTTCAAAGGGTTGTACTTTTTTTGATGGGTTGTGACTTTTTCAATGAGTTATGACTTTTCCGAACGGTTCTGATTTTTTCGAAGGGTTGTAACTTTTCTAAAGGATTGTGTCTTTTCTGATAAGTTGTGCCTTTTTCAAAGGGTTGTGACTTTTCTGATAAGTAGTGACTTTTTCGAAAGGTTGTGACTTTTCGGATAAGGCACAATTAACATCTATTCATACTACTATTTGGTTGCTATAAAAAGAGGGGTTTCCTCACACTTTTAAACTATAATAATTTCTTTAAGTTCTCTACGCTTCTTCTTCTTAAAATATCTCAAGTGTTATTTGCAAAAGTAAGGCACAATTAACATCTATTCATACTACTATTTGGTTGCTATAAAAAGAGGGGTTTCCTCACACTTTTAAACTATAATAATTTCTTTAAGTTCTCTACGCTTCTTCTTCTTAAAATATCTCAAGTGTTATTTGCAAAAGTTGATCAAGTTCGAAATTCAACGAAATTCGAGGTACCTCATAAGAAAAAGTTGGTGAAAAACTGTAGCAAATCATTCATCAATTCACACTCGGATTTTTTCTTACCATTTTCACGAGTTAACAATGACAAAAAGTTGTGGAAGAGACAATAATATTAAACATATATGAAAAAAGGCATATGATTTGGGTAAGATATTTCTTCTTTGTTTTTTTATTTTTTATTCTTTTCCCTCAAAAGAAGGAATTTCTTCCTAATTTTTCTAAAACAATGAGTATCAACGTAGTCCATTGAATTATTAGTTTTGATGTTAAATTCACTATTTCAAAAATAGATTTTCACTTTTACTTATAATATGATAACGTAGCCATGATAACAATAATTTTAATAGATATTTACGTAAAAATGAAAGGAGAAAGTAAAGTGTTGGTGGCAAGAGATTTAAATCAAATGGAACACTAGAGTGAATATAGCATGAACATATATTTTCGTCTCTTTGTATTGTTCCATATAACTTTTATTTATGTCACAAGATACACTCCTTCCTAGCTTTATAAAAATAGATAAGAAAATAGTGATTTATCATAAAATGATCTTAAATCAAATTATTGATTCTATAAATAATACTTTACATTTTATTTATCTATTAATTTATTATTGAAAAATTCAAATATTTTATATCATGATACAACTTCTATAAGATACTAGATACTTTCATTAGACAACAACTATATGATATGTATGCGGCAGAAAAAAAGGAGAAGACTACAGTTCCACAAAGATAAGGTAGAAACTTAATGAAATGAAATATTTTTCACCATAGGTGATGTTATTCATATATTAAAATTAAATTATTCTACTGAAGTATATATAACCATCATTCATGATAACAACCAAGTACACATTTTAGTATAATTACTTCTGTATAATAGCCTTACTCAAATATTAATAGAGTAATAATCTTTTGTAAAAAATATGTTACATATAAAGATAAAATATTGAAATACTTATGGTAAACCTTATTAGTGTCATGCGCATTCTAAATTTCAAGTATGAATATTTAAGACAAAAATTGTACTTAAACGTTGTACATCATTTATGTTCATAACCTCAACAGGAAAGGCTATTGGTGACATCTTTTGAATGTATATTTTTTTTCTATTTTTTTGGTTAGATATGTTTATAAAATTGAGTGAAGTAAGAAATAATATTATTAAAGAAATGTCACTTTCTCCCATATTTAAACTTTGGATGTATTTTGAAATGTTTTAATGATATCTGGTCATTTTAATCTCAAAATACAAGTAATTTTATGACAATATGTATTAAAAATTTAAAAACACTTGTCCTAGTTTGTTTAATTATAATTATTTACTAAAAAGCTTTAATTTATTAATATTAATTCTATTTTATAACATCATATATTGTATATATGATACACACGTGCAACGCACGTGCCGTAAAACTAGTGTGTGTGTGTATATATATATATATATATATATTCTTTCTATGAACATAAAAGTCTGACCAAAAATATAAAAAAATTAAATGCTCAACTCCATGGCCACTATATAAGTACTGTGGCATTAGCCCTTTCATGAAAATATAGATACAACAAAAAAAATCAAGATTTTGCAATGGCAACCAAAGTCTAGCTACCTTGTGTATGTATCCTTTATCCTTTTATTTCTTAAGTTTTGTGTTTAGATTTTGATGAATAATTTTGTTTACATAAAATACCTTATTGCTCTTTTTTATGGTTTCAATATGGTTTAAAACCACCGCAAATTGTAATCATATACTAATACATGGGATAATCTCAGTAGCATTGACTACTAAATTTTTGCTTTATTGGTGAGATCGTTTGATTCCTCACCTTAATTGTAATCTCCTCCTTCATTTTTCCCTTTCGCAACCTTTTTTTAAAAAAACAAAAATATATTTAAAAATATCATATATTATCACATTAAAAAAAACAGTGTCATGTGATATAACTTTGTTAGTTGGACATTAAAGAAAGAATAAATAAATAAAGAAACAGAAATTATAATTACAAGTAAACTTATTAAATGTCTTGAGATGCAGAGAGATAAACCAGGAGGTTGAAATCAGAGTGTAGTAGCACTTACATAAGCACTTCAATCGCAACAGAGTTTTAACTGGTAATCTTGAAAAAATACCCTCAAGAATATCACCAGCAAGATACAGATTACCAGTAATTCGTCTTGCATGCTTCATCTTCTTCAAATTATAAGGAAAATGGAGATTCTATTTCTGGTTGAGACAATCAATCAAATAGTCTTGTATGCAGAAAGTAGAGTACTAGCCCAAATTTAACTAAAAATCTTCAAGAAATTGCTATGATTTAAGCACTCACCTGAGAATCATTTGATGAGAGGAAAAAACCCAACCTAAATGAAGAAGAAACACGAAACACTCTTTAAAATATTGTGTTTTAGTAAGTTTAAGAGTTCAGTTGACAAAGTCGTGAGTATAAGGATTCAACTGACAAACGGAGCCAAGTACAAGGTCTCATAGGTTATTCTTTATTTATAGTGGTGGAAAAAGTTGAGCAACTTTGATGTGGGGGCTGACATGGTAAGTCAACTAAGCATATTTAATGACGTAAAAATGCACTTTCACTTGGCCTCATTTCATATTTATATCCTCTAACATTGAGTATGCATAAATAGACTCTTAAACTTGTATAAAGTTGAATAAGTAGACACATGAGTTATGTGGCATAATACACTTAGGACACTAGTGAGACTCAAACTGTCAGGTAAGATGCCACACAAGACGTGTGTGTCTATTTATTTAACTTTATACATGTTTAATTGTCTAATCGTGCACACCCAATGTTAGAGGGCATAAATTTGAGTTGAGGGCAAGTTAAATGATGCATTTATGTATTATGTCAAAATTTTATTGTTAAATGCAACAACTAGCTAATGTATATAATACAACTAAATGTCACAAATGGTCCCTAAACTATTGGAGTAGGTCTAAAATAGTCTCTTAACTATACACTTACCTGATTTAGTCCTTTAACTATCTCAAATTTTATCAGGTTTGGTCCACTAACTATAAATTTACCGATTTTAGTCTCTTAACTGTAAACTGTTTCTTCTTCTTAGGCATAAAAGAGAATGGTAAATCAATCTTTGTAATGGGTTCTTCTAATTGGATTTGGGATATGGAGCATTGGAATGAATTGGGAGGGGATAAAAGAAAATTAAATGGGTTGGGATTTAATTTTATCCAATAAAAAATGTCACGTAATATATAATAATAATTTTATTTTATTTTTAAAAATGGTGTTAGATTCAAGGGTAGAAATGAACCATAAAGGAGGATCGCGGGGTAGTTTTAGCCCAATAGGTAAATGAGTGATATATTTAAATCTTTTCAAATAATCCAATGATATTTCTGACCGTTTTTTGTACTATATATTATAAGTGTGAATGTTGAATAGCTTATGGTCAGCCGATCAATAGA